CGCACCAAGCGGCTGGCGGCGCTGGTGGGCCTGGAGGTGCGCGAGCACGGCGACGTGCTGCAATGGGCCTTCGCTGACACTTTCCTCAACCTCACGCTCAAGCACGTGCACCTGCTCGACTGGCTGGCGGCGCACTACCCGCACGCTCGCTTCCTGCTCAGCGCAGAAGACATCTTCGTGCACACAGCCAACGTGCTCCGCTTCCTGGGGGCACAGCTGCCCGGCGGCCACCTCTTCGTCAGAGAGCTCATGTAAAGCACCGTGCCTGTCCGCGACAGCTGGAGCAAGTACTTTGTGCCTCCGCAGCTCTTCCCTGGGCGGGAATATCCAGTGTACTGCAGCGGCTGCGGCTTCCTGCTGTCCAGCCACACGGCCCGGACCCTGCGCACGGCTGCACGCCACACCCCGCTCTTCCCCATCGACGACGCCTACATGGGTATGTGTCTGCAGCGTGCCGGCCTGGTGCCCAGCGTGCACAAGGGCATCTGGCCCCACGGCGTGCAGCTACCCGGCTCCCAGCAGCCCCCCTTCAACCCCTGCGTCTACCGCGAGCTGCTCCTCGTGCACCACTTCGCGCCGTACGAGATGCTCCTCATGTGGAAAGCACTGCATGACCCTGCACTGAGCTGTGGCTGGACACGCAGGGTCTCCTAAGGCCGGTGGGAAGCGCTGGGTGGATGAACGGGCTGATGTCTTGAATGCTCAGAACACATCTTTCCTGCTCTGGGTACCTTCTGTCCTGCCCAGCTCAATGCATCTGAACCCCAGCTGCACATTTAAATCAGATAGGGGGAAGAGTGGGAGGGTGGAAAATACCTGGTCCTGGCCCCATCTCCAGAGGTTCTGATTTGATTGGTCTGGGGTGGCCCCAGACTTGTAGGACTGCTTGAAGTTCCCCAGGTGATACTAATGTGCAGCTAAGCTTGAGGATCACCGGGCTAGGGATGTCTGTTCCTCCTTACAAACCCAGCCCCATGCCCCTTCTACAAGCTTGGCTCCCACATTCGAGTCATTGTGGGCAATGGAGCGAGCGAGGTATGGGGAGCCAGGATCAGGGTCACCTGTCAAGTACAATACAAATATGAGTTGTCGTTTCCATCATTTCCTCTATACATGAGTACAGCTGGAGCTGGGCTAACAGTCATCAGATGGATTCCCCCTCTCAGAAGTTAGTGCACACTTGAGACTGGGGATGTCTGGGGCCTTCCTCCCACCACTGCCCCAGTACCCCCTGTGAGGTCAAAATCCCCACTGTGCAAAGTGTAAACCTGAGGCCCAGTCAGGACAGTGACTAATCTAGGGCCATGTGATCATTCCCATACAACACACCATTGTAGTCCCCTCCACACTCACCCTGACCAAATCTATAACTCACTCCCAGGGGGCAGAGACAGGCTCCTTGCCAGAGACTGGGCCTCATGGTCAATTAGCCTTGGAGAACCAAGCTGGAAGATCTGGTGGGTGGGGGTGTCAGTGTGGGAATGCTGTGGGGGTCTGCGGGGGAGACTCTGGAAGACAGTGACTGGGGAATGTGGAAAGCAGTGTTTGGAAAGCCCATGGAGGTCAATGTGTGGAATTGTGTTTGGGGGTGGGGGGCCTGATTAGTAACTGTGAAGGACAATGGTTAGGGAATATGCAGGGGTGGCTGGAGTCTCTGTGGTGGACAGTGACTAGAAGCCTGGGAGGGCAGGGATTGGGGCTCTGAAGACCAAACTATTGTCCAGCAGCTGCCAGTCGTCTTGACAAAGTAGGAAATTATTGTCCCAGCAATGTAAGGTGGACAAGAGGGGATCAGCTTCAAGCAGGGAAGAGCCTGGGCAGGAAGTCAGGAGACCAAATGCCTTGCCCTGCCTCCAGGACAAAGTCCAGACTCCTCTGTCCAGCATTTAAGGTTCCTGCCACCCGACTGCTGTTCACCTCTGCATACTCATCCTCTCCATTCCTCACCACTGTCAGACTCCATCCAGGCAGAACTGTTTGCTTGTTGGGCTCTCTCCTGTCTCCACAAGTTGAACAAGCTCTGAGCCCCACCACCACCACCATCTATGTCTCTTGTATCAATTAGGATCCCCGTGGTGGAGGCTGCTAGCTGTCCACCAAGTCTGCTACTCCCTTCCTCCTGAACACACACTAGAGTACATTTCCCACCCCCCACCCCCACCTTGCAGTCAGGTGTGACCATGTGACTAGGCTCTATTCCATGGATGTAAGTGTACATGATGAGGACACTTCTGGAACTGGCCTGCCTATGCTCTCATCCTCCTTCCCCTCCTTCCTCTGACTCTGCAGATGTGAACAACACTCCAGACCTAAGCCAGCATTTCTCAACTCTTTTGGGTAGGGCAGTTCTTTGTTGTGGGGGGCTGTCCTATACATTGTAGAACATTTGGAAATGTCCTTGTCCTCTACCCACTAGGTGCTAAAATCATACTCCAAGTCATGACAACCAAAAATATCTCTAGGTGTTAGCAAATGTGCCCTGGTGGGCAAATTCACCACCAGCCAAGGACCACTTGCCTAGAGGAAGGCAGAAAAATGAGAGGGTTTCTGAGGTGACTTTAGACAGACATGGAACACTCAGCTCAAACTATTGAGGAGAATGAAATTAATTTTTATGTTATTTGAGCCTCTGGATTGTTGCCGACTCTCTGTTAACAGCAGCCTTGCTCTCCTAGTGTCTTAGTCCATCGGGCTGCTCTAACAAAAATACCGTAAACTAGAGAGCTTATAAACAAACATTTATTTCTCATAGATCTGGAGGCTGGAAAGTCCAAGATCAAGGTTCTAGTAGATTCCATGTCTGGTGAGGACCCATTCCTTGCCACCTTCTAGCTGAGTCCTCACAAGGTGGAAGGAGCAAACAGGCTCCCCCGTGCCTCTTTTATAAGGTGACTAATACCATTCATGAGGGTTCTGCTCTCATGACCTAATCATCTTGAGGGTTAGGATTTCAACATATGAATTTTGCGGGGACATAGACTTTAAGGCTATAGCATTTAGGTATACTAATGTGTCCTCTCTGATCCCTCATTTCTCCCCAACTAGACTGGCTGCTCCCAGAGGGAGAGATCATGCCTCATTTACATTGGAGGCTGGCCCAGATTTCCTCCAGGAGAACCGATGGCAGGCCTCTTCACACCCACTCTGGGAACTTCAGCAGGTCATCTCACCTCTCTGAGACTCTCTTTCCAAGGCAATAATCCAAGCCAGGGCCATGTAATCCTCTATGCCACATGGAGGGCACTGTCATCCTGCAGGCTTACTGTCAGCTCTCGGAGGTAAAAGGAAGCGCGAGGAGGATGCAGCCCCATCCAAGTGGCCTTTCTGCAACTCAAGCAGTGGACCCCCAGGAGCCACAACCTTGCTGGCCTTCCTTCTGAGTAGACCATAGAAAATACTTCCTAAATATTTTAGGGGTGAATGAATGAGTGGATGAGTGCCCCTCTGTCCCAGTGGTTTGCACTGTAACTGTTAGGACTCTATTAGTTTCCTATTGCTGCTGTAACAAATTCCCACAAACTCAGCTTAAAACCATACTGATTTCTTATCGTATAGTTGAGTCGTTCAACACAGGTCTCACTGGGCTACGATCAAGATGTTGACAAGACTGTATTCCTTACTGGAGGCGCTAGGGGAGAATCCATTTCTTTGCCTTTTCCAGCTTCTAGAGGCCCCCTTCATACATCTTCAAAACCAACAATGTTGCCCCTCTCTGTGCCTTGCTTCTGTAGCCACATCTCTCCCTGACTCTTCTGCCTTCCCCTTGCTCTTTTAAGGACACTTGTAATTACATTGGGCCCACCTGGACAATCCCAGATTGTCTTCCTATCTTTGACAGCTGATTAGCAATATTCATTCAGTCTATAACCTTACTCGCCTTTGCCATGTAACTGAACACATTCACAGGTCTAGGAATTAGGACGTGGACATCTTGTGGCGGGCATTATTTTGTCTACCACAGTGCCCAATAAATATTTGTGGAATAAATGAACAATAACGAAAAAATGAACAAATATGCTTTATTCACCCAGACCTCCCTGATGTGAACTCTCAGTCTGGACAATTGAGTAGCGTTAATCCTGAATTCCCTGCCCCTAGCTGCCATTGGTCAAGTGCTTACAAGAGACAAGAAAACAAGAATGCTGGGCTGGAATGCAGAGGCATCCTCTGGAAAGTCTGAATTCTTTATTTTATCACCTTCCTCCCATTTTCCTAACAGGCAGGTGGAGTATCCCCATTTTACAGGTAAAGAGATTAAGATACAGGAACATCACGGCTCAGAAGGGTCTGAAAGCAGCAGTTATGGGTCTACTGTGTGACTCTGGGTCCTGGTCCCCCCCGTCTCTGAAGCTGGGTTGCTTGCGTGACCAGTCCCAGCGATGGCCGCCAGGACCTGGTGCCTCCTCGCTCATCGGCTTCTCATCCTGGGCCGGCGCACTCCGCCCCGCTCACCCGGCTCTTGCGCCCTGCGGCCGCCATGGGGCGCCCCCCTCAAGGCTCCCGCACAGAGGCGAGCCCGGTGTGGGTGGGTCCCTGACATTGCGCGCGGCCCTGGCGTTGCACTGCCCTGGCGTTGCCCTAGGCCATTGCGGTGGCCCGCCGACACGTGGACTGGATGGAGACTGCGGGGTGGGCGACTTCAGGCGGCGTGGGGGCCGGGAGAGGCGATGAGCCGCCAGAGCCTTCGGCGACCTCTTTAGACTTGGGGCTGGGAGGACGAACAGACCCTGCTCCCCGACCTCACCGCCCCGCACCCCGCACGCCCGGAAATCAGCCCGCGAGACAGTGCCCCCAACTCCCTTTGTGGGGCCAGCATGACTTTGATACTCAGACCTCCCAAGGATCCCACCATAGGGGAAAACGGTGCGCCTGGCTCACTCACTATGCTATCTGGAAATGGGCAACAGGAAAAAGGAGAATGTATCAGGACCAAGATGGGTTTATCCCAGAAATCCCAGATGGCTTCCAGACAAATTATGAGAAAAACAATCAAAAAGGGCAAACAAAACAGGAAGATCCAGTAATGTGACGCATGACATCAAGAGAAATATGAACATTTCAGATGCGGGGGGGCGGGGGGGAGTGATAAAATTCAACGTTCATTAGTGATTTTAAAGAAAATCTTGGTAAAAGGTTAATGCGCTTGAAAGCATTTCCTTTAAAGTTAGGAGCAACGTTAAAGATGTGCTCATCATCACCACTCTGTTTCACATTGTCCAGATCTTGAGAACACAGCAAGACAAGAAAAAGATACGAAAATATAATGATTGGAAATAAAGAAATGTGCCAAAACCTCAGAAGTTAACAGCCCTATCAGATCCAACTTCCCCTTTCTGTAACAAATTAACACCATCCTCCCCACCCTGGACTGAATTTCTTAAAGAATGTAATATGCCCACACACATTTTCAAAAAATCAATATAATGCTTTAATTGTAATATAAAAATAAAGTACTTTAAAATAATATACATTTTGGTATGTAAAAATTCTTGGGCAAAACAACAGAAAATTGAAGAGGTGGGAATTCTTCCAAACTCATTCTACCAGGCCAGCATTATGCCGATACCAAAACCAGACAAGGACACACACACACACACACACACTATAGGCCAATATCCCTAACATAGATGCAAAAATTCTCAACAAAATACCGG